TTATCATGTTCTACAAAGGCTGATCTAATCCAGTGCTCTTGAAGTGGTACTGTGTTTCCCCAAAAATAAGACCAGGTCTTACATCAATTTTTGCTCCAAAAGATGGGTTAGGGTTTATTTTCAGGTGATGTCTTATTTTTTCTTACAAAAGTTGTAAGATTCTTGCCCTGAGAGTCATCCATGATTCCTTTCTTGTACTCGACGGAATAGCTCTTTCTTTTTGCACCATCCTGTTTGGGGGTCAAAATATTCCCTTTAAATCTTCCATTAAATCAGGTGTTAATTGAAGACTTACAAGACAGGAGTGGCAACACACGAGTGCATTAAATACGTCCATTACAACACACAATATTTTGAATTATGAAACACGTCCATATGTTATGAAGTGCGCACATTTGTGTCTGTACTCCAATTGGCAATGTCTTGTGTTTATCTGTTTACATAGGTGTTTACCTCTTGTCCAAAGGTGCCCACTTGGGTATTTACAAATGCATAATTATACTTTATAATTTATTTTAAGTATTGTCAATTGTATTGTTTATTGATATTGAATTATACATTAATATTATTATTTTATAATTCAATATATCCGTCATGTGTTGCAATTGAGGTAGTAAATGCATCCGTCTGGCTGAAAATCTTAACTGGGGCTTAGTTTTGGGGTAGGGCTTATATTACAAGCATCCTGAAAAATCATGCTAGGGCTTATTTTCCAGTTAGGTCTCATTTTCAGGGAAATACGGTATAACGACACAAAAATGGGTTGTATCTGTGTGGATAAATAGATTTATTTATTTATTTATTTCAAATAAACATTTATATCCTGTCCTTCCAACAAGCACTCAGGACGGCTTGCACAAAATATTACACAAAATATTAGTTATTCTTCCTATTCTGCTTGATAAGTTTGTTTATTTATTCATTTAAAACATTTTTATCTCATCTGTATCTGAACCTGATCTCTATACAGCTTATGGAGTTGTTGTTGATAGAATGGAATCAATTAGCATAAGTGTTTGGTACTTTCACATTCATTCAATGCAGGTAACTCAGACCCTGTGGCTTTGTAGTTGTAGTTAAACACTGAAAAGCAACAGATGAAACATCAGAGCTGAACTGATGCTGTAATTGCTGAATGCATGGAATATGATGAAGTGGTTCAGGTTGGCAAAAATGACATACTACAAATACTTCCAAGAAGTTTCACTGGTTTGGAAGGGCTAAGAAATGAAGGAAAACACTGGAAACTCTATCGTAATTTTAGCATGGTTTATGTTCTGTGCACTTAATTACATGTACTCCCTTGGGATAATCATCCAAAAGTAGTTAATTACAACTTTGAACTTGGACTGTTAATTAACTCAACAATGGAAAACTGTCCACAGAAAAGGATATGGCACTGGAAACATAAATCCACTCCCACATAATTGCATTCATGTACAAGATGATGTGACATCAACAGTTCTTTCTTGTGTGAACCTGCATTTAGCTTAATGGATGTTCATCTACTTGATATGTATGATTGGAAGTTGGATACCTGCCTTCTAGTGCATCTTTTGCTTTCTGTAGGCACTAAAACTCAGGCCCTTGACCTGAGAAGAATATCTGAGCTTGACTGATTTTCTTCTGCCTAAATGAACAAGGCTAATCATTTAGTTCTGTGACATGTGTCTGATTGAATAGAACAGTATATTACAGGCTTTCAAAAAAGATGGCAATTCGTGTCTTTTTCAGATTGTGGACTAAAGAAGGCAAGTTGAACAAGGCAAGGAAAACCATTTCCATGATAGTCAGTTAACTTGTTTCATGAGTCTTTATCTCAGAAACCTTGGCTTGGGTGCACTTCTTATTCCCTTGTATAACACATACCTGATGATTGCTATTTTTATGATATTGGGTATATATGCCTATTTGATAGTTACATCTGAACATGGTAGTGTGAATGGGAAGAGCTGGTAGGTTGGGTGAAAGCAGAGAGCTGCATAGATTTATTGATTTATTTAAAATATTTATATGTTTCCTCTCTTACCACTGGCATGTCTAAGCAATGATGGTAATAGATAGGGGAAAGACAGGAAATCAGTTCTGTGATTAATGGGGAGAACTCAGTCCTGACTCAGTAGAAGGGCTGGCATGGAAGTGGAGAACTTCTTTAAGCTCAGGAGCTGAGATCAATTTTTGAGAAGTGCTTTTAGGCCTCATTCTGGTGATAGACGGAACTAAAGACAAAAGCGATGGGACCAGCCTCCCAGCGTATTGTAAGTTAAAGTGACTGCTGGTAAAGTAAGCCTTAGGAGAGGCATCTCAGCCTTTTAGAATGGGTGAGAATGCACAAAAGCCAGGAAATCAAACAATGGAAGGTTAGGAGAAAGGGGTATAGATACAGGGGAGGCAGTGTAGCCATTCTGGGGACTTTGGAAGGCCAGACTTGGGCTAGCCAGATTTGGCCCTTTTCCTGAAGTTCCCCAGCATGGGCTAGGGTCTCAATGAGGCAGTTGGATTTAGAACATTTCCAGGTACAATGCGCTTCTTGTCAGGTCAAACTCAGCACTGTATTAGATATTTCTTAAATTTAATTTCCTGTATAGCTGCAATAATATTTACCTCATTCATTCATTCATTCATTCATTCAACTTATATTCTGCATTTAAGTATTCCAAGGACTCTCTAAGTGTATTACAAAAACCCCAGTAAAAATGTCATCTGATAAAAACATATAAACATATAACAATCAATAAAATGCCACTGAGGGTCAGATATAAATAAATTAAATAATATATTAACTAAAGAAAAGTGTAAACAATTCTATTAAAATAGTACAGTATAAAATCACATTTTAAAAATCAGTTATTCAAATTTGTGAAGAATAGGATGGTTTTTGCTTGGTGCCAAAAAGATTGTAATGATGGCAACCAGGTGGACTGCTCTCAGAAGGCCATTCTATAGATGGGACACAACCACTGAGAAGGCTCCTCTTGTATTTGCCATCCTCCTTACCTCCTTGAAGGATGGCTCTTTCAGAAGGGCCTCCAAAACTGATTTTAGGGGAAAGGTAGGTGCATATGGGAGCAGGTAGTCCTTCAGGTATCCTGGTCCCAAGCCATCTAGGGCTTTATATGTTAAAATAAACACCTTAAATTGGGCCCAGAGCTCAACTGGTAACCAGTGTAGGTGGTACAGTTTTGGGGTAAAATGGATGCACAGTCCTGCTTGCACCAGCAGTCACACCCCCATTTTGTACCAGTGGAAGTTTCCAGACCATCTTCAAGGGCAGCCCTGTGTAGAATGCTTTACAGTAGGGCAGTCGAGAGGTTACTAGAGTGTGTGTGACTGTGGCTATGCTTTGCCTATCCAGATAGACCACAGCTGGTAAATTAAACGCAGCTGAAAGAAGCTGCTCCTGGCCACCAAGTCCACCTGAGCCTCAACTAGTAGTTGTGTGTCCAGGAGCACTCCCAGGCTATGGACCCTGTCCTTTAGGGGGAGTGCAAACCCATCAAGGACAAGTTGAAGACCCACCCGCTGGGGCAGACAGACCATTCACCCACAGCACATCCATCTTATCTGTATTGAGACTCAATTTGTTGGCCCCCATCCAGTCCATTATTGAGCTCGGGCAGTGATTAAGGACAGGAACCGCTTCATCTGGGTTAGATGAGAACAAGATGTAGAGCCCCCACCTCCAAGGAAGAATAAACAGGAATGCACACCCCCTGTCCCTCTCTTGGCAAAGGTCATCCCACAGGGCAACCAAGGCAATCTCTGTCTCAAACTCTGACCTAAACCCCAATTGAAAAGGATCTAGATAATCTGTTTCATCCAAGAGTGTCTAGACCTGCTTGGCCCCCACCTGCTTTAGTACCTTGCCCAGAAATGGGATGTTCACATCTGGCTTGTAATTTGCAATGGCTCCTTAGTCTAGGTTTGGTTTTTTAAGGAGTGTTCTTATCACAGTCTCCTTCAAAAGGACTGGGATCACTCCCTCTTTCAATGAGGTGCTGACAGCCTCCTGGACCCAGGTGCAAACCCCTTTCTTAGATTTCTTGATGATCCAAGGTGGGCAAGGATTGAGTAGATAGGTTCTGGCATGAATCAAACCAAGATCCTTGTTCACGTCATCAGGCTGCAATAATTGAAACTCATCCATCAAAGTTGAAGGAAGATTAGATCAACTGTAGAGTCCAAGTCATGGCGTACTGAGTGACTTCACCTTCAAAGTGAGAAGCAAATTTGTTACAGAGAAGCACTGAGGGCTAAGAGTCTCACTTGATGTAGCATTATGTAGGAGACTATGAACCACACAGAAAAGTTCAGCTGTTCAATTCTGAGAAGGCATAATGGAATGGCAAAATATTGACATTTTGCCAGTTTTAATTGCCATGGAATAGCCTCTGTAATGGCCTCTAAGCTGTGTTCGGTCATATTCATCTTGAAATCTCCTCCACCTTCATTTTCATCAACTCCCCTCTTGCTTCATCACCCTGAGCTCAATTGTATACCATGGAGCTGGTCAGGTGCTACAAGAAGGAAGAGGATGCTTAGGAGCGACCGTGTCATTATTGCAGATCGTTACGGAGAATAAAATAATTACGTATCATTTCTATTCCATTTTGAAGAATTTCAGGGCAACATACATTTCTTCTTATCTTTAACAACCCTGCATGGTTGGGAGATAGGGACTGATCCAGGGACACCCAATGGACTTCATGGATAAAGGGGAATTTGATCAAATTCCAAACCTCTAAAGAAAGTCTGCTTGACATAGTAAATAAAAAATGAAAATGAAATGCTGACAGGAAAACTTTACAAGGTACTAGTATTTGAGGGAAGCTATTGCAGGTTGTTTCCAAATATTAAAATTTTGTGTTTTTAATGTGATGCTCATACATGCTCATACATTGCAAAAGAATATTTTTATGCTTAGCTGAGCTAGTGAAACCTTTGTTTGCCTTTACTGTATAGCAATCCACATTTATTCTTTTTATTTATTTGTTTTTCAGCCAGAAAATTTGCAGAAGAATTGGCTTCGGGAGTTTTATCAGGTACTATAAAATGATTTGATATTGTGTGTATAAACCATGTTCAAACTATCAAAACTTATATAGTAAAAATCTTGCTGAGTGCCATCCTGTGCATACTTACATAGGAATAAGCACCACTGAATTTGAGAGGATATACTTCCTGGTAAGCTTGAACAGGATTGCCTTTCAGGCTGCTCTGTCTAAGATTGAGCATGCATTCCTTGCCAAGTATGTGGCAAGCAGCTGTGCCTTTTCTTGTATTTGACTCTAGAACAAAAATCTAGAGCATTGTTCTGAAACTGTAAGATTCCTCTCAATTGAGGAGTTTGCGAAATCTAACTTATTATTTACTTCATTTCTATGCATGAGGAGTATTTGAGAACCATGAATGTATCACGTTTAGTATTAGTTTTAACTGTAGCCAAGAAACTTCAGGAAGTAGTTGGTGGCAAACTGGCATAAGCCAAAAAGGGATGAATTCAGCTTGTTTTCAGTTTGTCCCTTTTAAGACTGTGCCACTGTTCGCCAGCAGCGTGTTTTGTTTTGGTGGTTGCTTATGTTGCCACTGCACAGCTGAATTTCAGAATGGGAACAACCAGAAGTTGGGAGGAATATGTGGCGTGCAGACTTATTTATTTAAAGTTTTTAAAGACCGTCCATCTACTGGTGTCTCGGGATGGTTTACAACAAGCAACAGATAAAATGGCAAATAAAATGGCACAGCATCCAGTAATTCACTCATATAAAATCTATATTAAAACCTATTAAACATTAAAATAACGGGAAAATAAAAAGGTTTTCTCCTGGTGCTGAAAAAAAATAAGTGTTGGCACCAGGCGAATCTCTCTGGGGAGTGTATTCCATAATTGGGCACCACTTCAGAGAAGGCCCTGCTCTGGCTAACCACCCTCCTAATCTCTTTCCAGGAGGGCTTCTGAAGTTCTCAAGGGGCAGGAAGACATATAGGGGAGGAGGTGCTCCTTCAGGTATCTAGGACCCAAGCTGTTTAGGGCTTTATAGATCATCACCAGCACCTTAAATTGGGCCCAGACTTCAATTGGCATCCAATGTAAGCTGAAAAGGGCTGGTATCAAATGTGAATACTTTCCAGTTTCCCTTAACATTCTGGCAGCTCTATCCTGAATGAATTGAAGTATCCAGACCATCTTCAAGGGCAGCACCACATAGAGCACATTACAATAATCCAGTCGGGAAGTTACTAGGATGTGGGTCACCGTTGCTAGGCATTGATCATCCAGGTAAGGGCACAGTTCAACCAAAGCTGAAGAAAAGGGCTCCTGGCTACTGCTGCCACCTGAGATTCCAGGGACAGCTCCAGGTCGAGGAGCATTCTCAAACTGTGCACCCTGTCCTTTAGGGGGAGTGCAAACCCACCCAGAACAGGGCTGATATCACACACTTGGAGGGCTGAACCACCCACCAACAGGACCTCCATCCTGTTAAGCCTCAGTTTATTGGCCCTCATCCAACCCATTATCTTGGCACTGATTAAGGATAGCCACTACCTCACCTGGACTAGCGTCCTGATGAGTCTGCAGCCCAAACCCCTGAATGACCTCTCCCAGCAGTTTCATGTAGATATTAAAAAGCATGGGGAATAAAATGGAATCCTGTGGAACTCGATAGCAAAGTTGTCACGGTGCAGAGCCATAACCCCCCAGCACTACCTTCTGGAATCAAACAGGTAGGAGTGGAACCGCCCCGAAACAGTGCCATCAGCTCCCAACCCAGCCAGCCTATCCAGAAGGATACCATGGTCAATGTATCTAAAGGCACTGAGAAGATCAGGAGAACCAAGGGACATACTTCCCTGTCTCTCTCCCTGCACAGGTCATCATACAGGGTGACAAGGCAGTTTTGGTTCCATAGCCAGGCCTGAAGCCAGATTGAAATGGGTCTAGATGGTCTGTTTCCTCCAAGAGTGCCTGCAGTTATCTAGCCTCCACCTGCTCTAGCACCTTGCCCAAAAATGGGATATTAGCCACTAGCCTATAATTGGCAGCTATCTCTAGGTCCATGGTCACTCTATTCAGGGCAGGCTTGGTCACTGCCTCCTTCAAAGGGGCAGGGACCCTCCCCTCTCTCAGAGAGGCATTAACAACCTCCTGGACCCAGGTGCATATCTCATCTTTTGCTCTGAGCAGCCATGAGGGGCAAGGATCAAGCAGACAAGTGGTGGATCGGACTAGTCCAAGCAGCTTGTCCACATCATCAGGCTGCAACAACGGTGCTCTGGACGCTTCCCAATCTAAAACATATCAACTATGGAGTCCTGCTCATGGTGAATCTGAGTGATTTTATCCCTAAAGTGCTGGGCAAAGTTGTCACAGTGAGATATTGATGGTCTGATTAGGTCCTTTTTGGTCCCAGAGTATGATAGGCCCTGCACCACCCAAAAAAGCTCAGTTGGATGGCACTGTGAGGATGCAATGGAAGCAGAGGAGAATTCCTTCTTTGCTGCCCTCACCACCACAGCATAGACTTGATAATGAGCTCTAAGATGTGGTTCATATTCAGCACAAGATTTCCTCCACCTCTGCTCTAGTCGTCTCCCAGCCTGCTTCATCGCCTGTAACTCAGGCACATACCAAGGTGCCGAGTGGGCTCTGCATGATGGGAGAGGATGCTTAGGAGCGATCGTGTCAATTGCCCTGGTTATTTCTTCATTCCACAAATCAGCCAGGGCATCAAAAGGAGCGCCAGCTCTATCAACCGGAAAAACCGCCAGAGTCCTCAGGAATCTGTCCAGATACATAGGACTCTGGTGGTAGATCATCTTAACAGGGTCCACACCCTTACAGAGGGAGAAACTGGCCCTGAGTTCAAACCTCATGAGGAAGTGATCGGACCATGACAAAGGGGTTAGAGTCAAGTCCCTCACTTCCTGTCCTGTCAAGAAAACCAGGTCCAGAGTATGGCTTTTTTCATGCGTTGGGCCAGTGACATGTTGAGATAGCCCCATGGCTGCCATGGTGGCCATGAAGTCCTGAGCTGATCTGGTCAGAGCAGTCTTGGTGTGGAAGTTGAAGTCCCCCAGGACCAACATCCTGGGGGTCCTCAACACCAGGTCTGAGATGATCTCCACGGGCTCAGGCAGGGAGTCTGCCGGGCAGAAGGGTGCATGGTATACCAGCAGAATACCTGATCTGTCTTGATCACTGAATGCCAAGTACAAACATTCCAAACCTGTCCTCAAAGGGTCAGGAAGACCCATGAGGGAGATTGAATCTTGGTAAATTAGGGCCACACCCCCTCCCATTCCCTCAAGGTGGGGTTGGTGCCACACCAGATACCTGGGTGGGCACAGCTGGGTGAGTGGCGTGCCCCCCACTTCTCCCACTCAGGTCTCCATAATGCATGCCAGGTCGACCTTCTCATCCAAGATTAAATCATGGATGAGGGTTGTTTTTTTTCTGGACTGACCTGGCATTCAACAGCACTACTACCAAGCCAGAGGGCTGGCTGATATCACTACCTGGAACCTTCTGGTTGGAGGAGAAACCAGAAGAGGGGACTGACACTAGCCGTCTGTCCCCTCTTCTTCTGAAATGATGTGTTAAACACCGGCACCATATCTTCCCTTTCCCATAACTACCTCAATGGGGGTGCCCATCCACTCCCCAGGAACTCCCATAAACAATTAAAACCCAAGTATAACAAAATACAGTACAGGAACAATCCAGGCGAGGATGCTGTGCATTAAAACAGAGCCCAACTGCAGAAGTGCCACTGGCTCTATATAAAACAACTATAACAATAAATAAAATTACCCAACTCAGCCTCCCCCCACCTCCCATACAAACCAGCAGAGTCCCAGGTTCAATGCAACCCCGAACAGCCTGAATGGCCCCAAGCAGCTATGCCCTTTGGCTGTTGCCCTTCAGCCGTGGTCAGCAAGTTAAGTGCTCCAACACTGCCCTACACTTCCCCCTGCAGATGCCCCTCCTCCATCCTTGACCTCCTCTCTCACAGGCATCATCACGGGAGGAGGCCAAATGTGTAGGTGTTGAAGAACGCAGGACAGCGGGGGTGGCGGGTGGAGGAGCCAGGCACAGGCCTTGTTCTCACTGGTGGCAGTTTCATGTTACCCACACCTGATATAGGGAAATCATTTTCCTTCAATAATTAAGCTCACCTAAAAGTTAATCTGAGATGCTAACAAAGAAAACTATTGCATGAGGGTTAGAAGCAGACTTGGGAGTCAAAGCGGAACACATTTAGGTATGAAAAGCCATGCCTGAAGTCATCCTAGGGAGCAGTCCTATGGATCCTGGGCATAGTCTGACAGACTGTGGAATTCTGTGGATTCTTGTCATGCCCTGAGTATCCAAAAGCCCAATCTCTGCCTTACCTTCTCAAGAATTTCCGGTTTCACTCCAGGGGTCAAGGCCATATGGTTAGTGCTCCAAGCTCCAAGACAGGTTGGGTTGTCTGAAAGGATGTCTAAGGAATCTAGTGACCTGTTAACATCAACAAAGTCCAGGAACACAGACAATGCTCCGTGTTGTTTGCAACACAGAGCAGCTCTGCCTTAACTAATTTATAGCCAGCTGTAACTCAGCACAGCTGGCTAATTAAATCAGTGTGCTGTTTCACAGAGACCTTGCCTTTCAGAGCATTTGGATTTCTGTAGAAGCTGAAATGGTGCACTCCTTTCTACGGGATGGATGCCCTCTGTCTCTGAGCCCTGCTGTTGGGGAACCACAGGAACTGCCCACAAAAGTCTTGGCAGCTCCTCTAAAGGAGGGCAGTCATCTGCAGCAATAACCCCTGTGTCTGACTGTAGCTGGGGCTCACTGCCCTGGCTTTCTTTGTCTGAGGAGTTCTCCTCCAGGTAGGAGATGACTACAGAGCTGAATTCAGAACTCTGCTCCCAACCCAGTGATGTTGCAGAAGCTGAACTGACTTTTGGTGCATTGTGGTAGGAAGAAATGTGCGCTACACTAAATAACTGCTGTGGTCACTGTGAAAAATACAGATGATACTTCCCTGGAGTGGGT